CCTATTGTTATTATTAGTAAAATTATTTTTACATGATTTTCTTCAAGTTAAAAGGATAATTTAATGATATATAAAAAGTAGGATATACCATGCGCGGAACTTCCTGATAGTTTCATAAACCAATATCGCTTCACTAGCACCCGATAATGTGTCCAATTCAAAATATGATCAGTGAAGGTTCAAGCATTCAAAAATAACCCTTTGCATATTCAGATACTATAACCCCGATATCATCAGTTATGTTTCACTAGATAACGAGTGGGACTGTTTGAAGTTTATAAATGTGTATTCACAATAATATACAGTTTCATTTTGTAAGTCTAATTATTGTTTTCAGATTTAAATTTTTGCTTTGTTTAAAAGACTTAGAAACAAACAAAATACGCCGTACTGCTTCAAAAAGTTGAAATCCCGAAAGGTGTTAGTCAAGATATAGTAGTTTTAATTTTTTAGTTTTATTATAGTTTGACGCCACACTGTATTTTTGTTACAAGTATGGAATTTTCAGCATGTGATAACGGTAGCCCAAATTTAGCAGGCCGACCATTGATATCAAGTGTGCGTCGGCAGGGGATCGAACCCCAGACCATGTGCATGGTTGGCGAGCGTCCTAACCGCTGTACCACCGACTACCTTACATAAATATATTTTTGATATGTCAACCAGTGTAGTAAATGACTCTTTGTAATGATGATAACAAGGAGGCAAAATGGAAGCATAAAAGATGTTAAACAAAATGTAAAAGATTAGGAAGATGATAACTAAAGTGACTGAATCACTGGTAAATAAACAATATTAATAACGCGTTATGATTGGAGATGAAATGAGAATTGAGTTCCCCCTGCTTTTGTGAGAGCTGTGACCAAGCTTTAACCTGATAATTCTACAATGACTGGGCGCGAATGAAAAGCATACATATGTTAAAATCGTGTTTGCGTAAATCTCAGAGAAACTGAAATAAGTCCAAGGTTTCATCCGGAAAACTGGTCCGAACATATTTTGAGCGGGGTGGGGGGGGGTTGTTGATCAGTTATGTGAAGATACCTAGCGGTCAGGTACATCAATTGATATGCTTCTGCTCTGAATTTAATTAAAAATAAACCAAAAACTTTTCCAGTAACTTGAAAAATATGATTAATAAGGATATGCAACACGTGAGGTTAGATTATGAAAAAAATCCAAATTACTTATCCATATTATATTCCAAATGCAGAAGTGTTGCTATTTGAATTGATGCATTTCTATGCAGTCCTACTTGAATAAGTCAGTTAAATATTCATAGGAGTAAAAGGAGAATTGAAACTGCTTTTCACTCTTGTTATATAACAATTAAACTGTGATCATGGTATATATATATATATATATATATATATATATATATATACGGGAGGGATTTGAAAGAGCTTACTTCATTCACTTATCTAGGGAGTATTGTCTCAACTACAGGAGGAACGGACGAGGATGTCAAATCGAGAGTCGGGAAGGCGAGAAACACATCCGTCAACCTGAAACCAATCTGGAAATCTTCCTCACTCAACAACAAAATTCGAATTTCCAATACAAACGTCAAGTCGGTTCTTCAATACGGATCAGTAACTTGGCGGGTGGGTCACAAAGAATATTTCCGACAGACTACTGCAGACCTTTATCAACCAACAACTGTCTTCTCTCTATGCTGAAGATCAGATGGCCGGGTCGGAAAGAATCATTAACAAGAAACTATAGGAACAAACAAAACAAGAACCAATCACCCAGCAATTATGCAGGAGAAAGTGGAGATCGATTGGACACTCGCTCGCCGTGGAGGCCGCTGGGTGACATCGCGCTGCAGGCCATTGCTCGAGTGGAACCGGAAAGGGGAGCGGCGAGTGGGACGTCAGTGCGGGGGTGACATGGAGGAGATCGTGTGAAGAGGAGTTGAAACAGTATGGACTAACATGAATGAAGGTGAAAAGTACAGCAGAAGACAGAAGCAAGTGGAGACGTGCAGTTGAAGCCCTATTTTCCACTAGGAAACCAATAATAATAATATATATGCATTACATTGAACTTGTTCAGCACTGTTTCTCAAGGGTGAAGAGATACAATCATAAGAGGCTATTTGAGAAATACGAAAATTACTGTAAAACATTCTTTTTCGAAATGATCAGAGCTATACATGAAGCTAGAAACCAGCCAAAAAATAATTGAACTTCTTAAAATTACCAAGAGAGAATTTTTTCTCACTACAAGAAATATGGACGGAATAAATTTGAAGGATTTCACTTCTTTCATTCATTCAAGAAGCATCGTTTCAACTACAGGGAGATGCAACAGATGAGGCTGTCAAAACCAGCCAGAGTCAGAAGGGCAAGATACACCTTCATCAATCTGAAATCGGTTTGGAAATCTTCTGACTTCAGCTAGTGTAAAGAACAAGATTCGGATTTTCAATACAAGTGTTAGGTCAGTCAGTTCTTCTACATGGGTCATAAACTTGAACTGCGTGTAACGAAAAGAATTTCCAATAAGTTAAAGACTTTTATCAACAGATGCCTTTGTTGGTTGCATAATGTAAATCAAATGGCCAGGCGCCCCGAAAGAGTTAACAGCAAGTAACTCTGACTAAAAACCAACCGAGAGTCTATTGCTCATTAAATATGTAGGAGAAAATGAAAATAAGGAGACCGTCGAATGACATCGAGCACCAGGCCATTGCTCGACTGGAACCCAAATGGGAAGCTAAGAGTGGGTCTTCGATGCGACAGTGACATGCAGTAGATCGTGTGAAGAGAATATGGAAGGTTATGGGCGATCGTAGACCCAACTGAAGAGGACATTTGGGAATAGAACAAAGTGGAGATGTGTTGCTGAAGCCTTATTTTCCACCTGGAACCCAAGGGAATAATAATAATAAAAAACAAATATTAATAAATCAGGATTTAATGAATCCATCAAATTTCGACGGGACTCTTCAGCTGAATACTCTACATACAGTGATATATATTTACCATCAGAATTAAATTGGGAGATATGAGATAATTACTTGTCAGCCTTATCACAATACGACTTTCTGATTGGCTTGTTTGCATATCCCCGACGAATGTAGTGTCGTAGTCCGTTGCTGTAGTGGTTTAATGACAAGTTATGTTTTTATATGCCTTTTAAATAAAATTTTGCGCCGAACATTTTTTCAGGTACGTAATATCAGCTGCGTGATATCCTTGAACTGCGTTACATTTGATGCACTTTTATCAAAAAATGTCTCTTGGTACCGATATTTGCCCATATAATGGATTAAAGGAGGTGGCATCACTTCAAAATCGAAATATGCCTTATAATCACCCAGGTTTTCTGAAGGTGATTAATACTAATCCAATTTTAAAAAAGTAGTATCAAAGTAACCGTTTTACGTTTAGGTACACACGATTCAGATTATATATATATTCCACTTTATGAAGCTGTGGCACTTTATTTTATGCAAAATGAAAACTGAGTTATCGATTACTTCGCTTGTAATGAAATACTGTTTAAAAAATAATTATCTTATATAAATATTTTGTTAATTTTGTTAAGATCAACAAAAGCTTATGAAATTGTATACCCTTTCAGTGCTTGTCTACATGTTTTTGCTTACTAGAAGTAATAGTTGTCTGTTGTTTTAAAAACCAAAGCCAAAGAGTCCAACACTAGGACGAAACAGCTGTTCAGTACTTCGTGGTTTTCAGTGGTTCTCTGATCGATATCAACACGTGTTCAAACATGAACTAAATCAAAACCCTATTAACTAACACTTGAGAAGTGTGACCTACCACTATAAAATGTTAGAATTCATTTCGCTGTATACACAGATATGCTGGGATATCATTTTCGCACGTTATTACTACATTTTCAGTGGTTGGGAATCTGATAGTTATTACTAAAATTTGTGTTCATTGATAAAGAAACAAAGATCAGATTTGTTAATTTTATACAATCTATCAAAGTTGCATGTGTGCAAACCAAGTTCACTTCCAGTAGTGTGAAAACATTTAGGCATTAGGCGTACAATATTCATTATTATATAAGTTTTTGTATTTCCCAATGAATAAAAAACAAACGATATTTTTTTCGAATAGTTGATTTGTAAGGATTAAGATTTGCTTTTCGAGTCTGACCACGGAACGATATTGTTTTTATTGACGTTTCGCTATTTAATGCTAATTCCTCAATCAAGGTACTAATAAACCAAAAGTTACAAAATCTCACCGCTTATGTAGCAAATTAACCACCATTCTTCAGCATGAGGTAGTAATTTTTAAGCTGTCAAGTTCATCAACTAGTAAAGATAACAAACCATGCGTAGATTGTTGGATTTGATAAATGTATGGAATTATAAAAACACCGTGTGTTTACACAATGAAATCGCTTATCACATTCGTGTTGATTCTGTTCTTTCAAGAGAGGAGGGTTGTTGCCACCAGGTCAAATTCTGTCTTCTGATCTTGATTTATCGCGAGGTTTGTACAACATATATCGCATCTGATTCCAGGCAGTTTCATTGTGTAAACACACGGTGTTTTTATAATTCCATACATTTATCAAATCCGACAATCTACGCATGGTTTGTTATCTTTACTAGTTGATGAACTTGACAACTTAAAAATTACTACCTCATGCTGAAGAATGGCGGTTAATTTGCTACATAAGTGGTGAGATTTTGTAAATTTTGGTTTGTTAGTACCTTGATTGAGGAATTAGCATCAAATAGCGAAATGTCAGTAAAGACGATATCGTTTATTACATTTAATAATCAAACTAATATGGATATCGTTTATTTTTCATTCATCGGGGAATACAAAAGCTGCTATGATGTATCAAGGTTCTCATTTTCATAAAAGATGTAACATGTAGTGATTATTAATCCATAAACTATTTTAACATAAGACAGATCAATATGTCAATAATTTGAATCCTCTGTATAAATCTATTTTCAGCATACATAATATTTGTGCACTCATTTTCACTATAATTAACAAACAATGGTATCGTGTTCAGGAAACAGAAGAACGAAACAAGTGAAAAAAATTAAAGATGTTAAACCGAAACGATCACCCGGACCATATGCATTATTTGTACAATCGAGAAAACGTTTATATCGTGGTAAATTTAGCGAATTCTCTAAAAGCTGTTCACGTGAATGGCGTCAGTTATCAAACGAAGAACGTGAGAAATTTAAGACACGAGCATTGAAACAAAGTAGCTCGCACAGAAAATCAAAATCAGATTATATCAATTTTGTTAATGCAACCTATGATTGTTTAAGAAAAAAGCATCCGGATTGGACAGCAAAACAAATTCACACACAACTAATGAAAAACTACGAAAAAGTTAAGTGCAGTTGCAACAGAAGTAAACTAAGGAGAAAATAAGAAATAATTGGTGAATAAACACGTGTATATATGTGTTTCTATGTGTAAGAATATTAACAATAACTTAGTATCTACAGAAACCTATATATATATATATATATATATATATAAGATTTAAATGAGTATAATAACACTTTTATGTAATTGGTGCTGAAGTTATACATTTCAGTGTATATAGTGTGTTAAACAGGATGTAAGTTATCAATAATGAATAATGATACTTTATTCCGAGAATTTTTTGTCTTCTAAATGCAGTATTTTGCTACAGGTCATTAATAAGTGGTTAAGAGTAGTTAATATCACTGTTCTAAATAAATTCTGGTAATGGAGGCTATAGTCTGAATATCGCAGTTCTGGTTAATATAGTATAGAGTTATAGGTGACCAAACTATGAAACTACTGACTGTTGGTTTGAACCACATTGAGTTAATCGGAACTCTAGGAACCAACGAGATTTTCGGCAATATGGCTAGAAGTCGATCGCAGTGGAACAGATGCGTCCACTGTTTTTGATGCCTCACATTCATTAAATCCTTCTAACTGAACATATCATAATTCCTCCTTTATAACATTTCCGTTTATTACAGTTTATTCCTATTCCTATTCTTTATATGTGCTTTACAAAATATGGTAACTTGAACTGTCGCACTTTGCATAAAATTCTACGCTGAAAATTCATTTCAGTTTAAATTGAGCCTGTTATTTGTTAACAGGATAGTATATATGTAATCATTAAACAAAGAAACAATATTCAGGGATTTCAAATAGTATCAATTAATGTTTCAACTAGATGTCCAACTAATAAGTTATTGAAATTTAGCAGTTAATTTATAAATTGTAATAAAATTTATTGTGAATTTTGGAAGTAATTCACTCCTCAGTTAACCGGCCTAATATAGTGTTGAGTACTTTTTGTATGTGGTGGTTTCTTTAACGTCCAATATATTTCTAACTTTAATTAGTCTCATTATTAAAATTCATAGTAAACAAATGATGCTCAAATTATTTGTACTATGGTAGTAAGTTTTACGAATCAAATGTAGTATGACAGTAACTGTAACGTATTCAGTCTGAGCCTCAAGCATGACTTAAATTCATTTCACCTTAATAATTCCTGTTCGTTTTCCAAGTTTTTGGGATTAGATCAGATTATTGGGTTCAGGCACTTAATTTTTAAAGTGTGATGCGAGCTTCAACCTTTTTCCACCTTCTGAAGTTTGAATAGCCAATTAGTATTCCTCAACTTTACGTTACAGTAGACGGACAAACATGTAGCCGCAGAGTTGCTTTGCATTCGATTTTTTATCTGTCCTCATGAACATATAGACATCAACAACATATTATGTTAGTATTCACACCTTATATTAGCACATAGAAGTTATTGAACATGAAGAGAGCAAAATTAAATCAATACACAAATAAAGTACCGATTAATTTATACCACATCTACGGATCTAGGAACAAATTGTCCACATTTCTCAACCATCCGTTTTAAATATCAAATCTACCGCATACAGACAATTCACACTTCTCTGAACACCTCAAGTCGGCACCTAATGTTTACATAACATGGTAATATGACTTTGTCTGACGTAACTAATATCATGTGTGGATGGATGACCGACATGCACTGGCTTCGGTAAATCAACAGAATGTGATAATAAATACTGATTTTGTAGGGTACCTTTTTGCATACTGAAATATTATCTCTATACAATCACTATTCATCTGAAAATATCTTTGACAAAGTAGTTGCATCTATCACACAACTAATAATACGAAGTATGCTGTTTTTATGGCTTAGTTGTTAAGTTATCCCAATAAGTTGAATGCGTAATAACGTCAAACAAAAGAAAAATAAAAACAGATCTGGAGAACAGAAAGTGAAAATTCTTTCGATGAAAACAAAAATAAAAGTAGGGACATAAAAAACCAGCATGAATTTTGAGACCAGCTGGTAACACAGATCAGATTGCAAAGGAACTAAGAACATGCTGTACAGAGGGGCCAGGAATCTGCGAGGGAAGATGGAGTGCACGTGAACTCTCTAAATTGTAAACTGAAAAGTCAGTAGTCTATCCCTATCACCCAAACGATAAATAAGAGCGCACTAATAGTGTGGCTACCGTTATATTACCAACAGCATCAAAGACTATCATGCAGTGGGAACCCGCCTTCTACAGCATCACAATAACATGACTCAACTTAAATGAAAGGAATTTCACAGTTATACCATATTACACATCTATGAACAACTCAGACCTAGTGGGGAAGAAGGACGACTTCCAAAGACATCTGCATGAAGTGATGGACAAGACCCTAGTCAAATGACATCGAAATTCCAATGAGTGATTTGAATAATAATAATAATTTTTGCTTTATTCCAAAAACATTACTAATGACACAGCAAAGAATTTTCAGCATTCAGTACAATATTGCATCGAATTTACTCAAAAACGACAAAAAAATAAACATTACATAATAATAATAACAAAACATTGTTGTAGCGGCTACGTAGGAAATTACAGTATGCTATGCGGAGAAAAATATGCAAAAAGTATAAAATTATAGTAATAACAGTAATACCAAATAAAATAAAATAGCAAAGTTATAATTAAACGATAGAAAGTGTGACCCCATAAAATTACAGAAAGATGAACAATGGAAGCGTTGATTCACTGTGCTAATTACATAGTAACTTATATGTTTCACGTCTAACAGTGACTTTATCACATAAAATATGGCTAAATACGGTATTGTAGAACTTTTGTACTTAGTGGTTGGAGCATATAACTTCTTATATTGAGTTCTAGTACTACCTACAAGGGGATAGTTGTGAATAAAGTAGTTGCAGGGTGTCTGACAGTACGGCCTTTGCCCATTTTATGCGGGAATTTATGTGTCTCTCGACTATAATATTGGCGAGCTCACGCAGTGGCATCCCACAAGCCCTACTCAGTTCGTCGGTGGCACAGTGGTGAGGACTCTCGCCGACCTGGCCACTGAGAGTGGAAGACATGAAAAGACTAGCTGTCTTTGACCATAGGTGCCTGCGTTCTATTTCCCGTGTAAAGTGGCATAATAAGGTGACCAACATGGAGGTTAGGCGCAGAGTTCTAGGTAAACAGGGGAAATCAATCGACGAAGTCGTGAAGCTACAAAGACTGACATGGTTAGGACATGTGTTACGTATGCCAAGCCATCGCCTCCCTCGACGAGCTATGTTAGCGGATATAGGGTCAGGCTGGAAAAAAGCTAGCGGCGGTCAAACAAAAACTTGGCATCAGTCAATGAAATCCACAACAGTTGGTCTAAGCCACGTAGAAAGGTGTAGACTTCCAGGCTGGGGTCCTCGGGACGGTAAAAATCTATGGTTGGAAACAATTGGTGACATGGCTCAAAACCGTTCTCAGTGGCGCAGATGCATCCACTCCCTGTGACTTATGATCTTCAATGAAACTGTTTTGTATTTCTTTATTACTCCTTTGTCTCACACCTCTGCTCACTGTTTCTATTATGCTTTTCTTGTACTTTCTTCTCTTGCTTCGCGTGCTACACGGAATGTGGCGACTTGAACTGGCGCACATTTGTGCAAAGTTCTATGTCGAAAACAGACAGACAGACTCTCGCCGACCATACATATGGTCTGAGGTTCGAGCCCACGCCGGCGCACACCTGATATCTATGGTCGGTCTGCAATATTTGGGCTACCGATATGCATGCTGAAAATTCTATACTTGTACCAAAAATACAGTGTGGAATCAAGCTGTAAATCAAAAAACAAATTTAATACTCTTCGTAATATGATATACTCTTTTTGAGAAGCCCATGAAAGATTAGTGGAGAGCAATAGAGTACAATAGGTAAAATACAGGAGTTTAAAAATTGCAAAACTAAAGGTTGGTTGATACCTGATTGTCTAAACTTTTTAATGTAGAAGGTAAGACGAAACATCTTCTTAGAGATTGATAAGATGTGGGATGGCCATGAAAGATCAGAGGAAAGGACTAATCCAAGGTATTTAATGCTTGACTTGGTTTCAGTTTCCGTGCCATCTATGCTACAGGCATCATGCGAACTAACTAGTTCATGTAAGTCACGTCGATGCTTGAAAGTAAAGTCAACTGACTGACATTTGGGAGGATTTAACATAAGAACATTTGACTTAGGCCACTTGCTGATGTCCAACAGAAAGCTACTAATTTTGGAGCAGTCAGACTCGGAAGTGATAGGCAGTGATACAGTCAGATCATCTGCATATTTGACAAAGTTAGTTTCGTTTAAATGAGGCAGGTCGTGTAGGAAGAAAGAAAAAATAAAAGGAGAGAGGACGGCACCTTGAGGAACACTGGCTTTTGTAAGCGAGGTAGAAGATTTGCCATTATATACAGTATACTGTATTCTATCAGAAAAATAGGAATGCAACCAACTCTTAGCCCAGGATCCTGTTTGCGTCAACGAAAGCTTACTTAATAAAAGGCCCCTAGGTACAGAGTCAAAAGCAGATGTGTAGTCTAGGAAAGCACCACGAACATATTTGGCACCTTTGTCTAAACAAGAAACAACATTATGATATAAGACAACCACAGCATCCAAGCTACATCTACCATGTTTATATGCGAATTGTTTAGGATCATTTAAAGGTTTCAATGAAGGTTCAAGACGAAGTAAAAGTAATTTTTCCATCAATTTTAAAAAAGGAAAAGTAATTACAATAGGCCTAAATTTAATATCAGTACCAGAAGATGGTTTTGGTATGGAGATAATTTTAATGTTTTTCCATGCAAAAGGTAGAACGTTACCGGAAAAGGAAGCATTAGAAATGTTAGTAAGGGGGTAACACAAAATATCAGCACAATTCCTGAGAACAATGGCAGGTATGCCATCAGGACCAAGGCTTTGGGAAGGCTTAAGAGACCGGAGACATTTAAGCACATCAAGGGTATTAAAACCACTAAAATTATTGTCTATATGATTTGTATCATTAGGTAGGATATCGA